GTGATTGACAGGTCTCTACCAGAGACGTATACGGCGTCTCTACGTCTCTCCTCCTCAGTCCAGATGTGGTCACTTCCTGTTCACTGGTTGTTAAAGAAACTAGATGGCAACGACCAAAATGCCAAAATGGAGGCTTGAAAACATCCACAAACCAACAAGAGCGTCTACGTCCTCTTCTTATAGACACGACTTCTGTTTCTACTGTCTTGGAGGACGTTCCATTGTGAGAGACTTGTGTCGTCATGTGTGTATATATACAAGCATGGTAGTATATTATTTGACCTTTTTTTAATCCCTGATTGCTCCACAGGTCTGATTATAAAGTCTCACCTGATGAACTCTCACCTGTGTTCAGCTTCAGATAAACTGAGTGATATTTGATATCTCTGCACCTCGATCTCACCTTCGTTATTAAGTTTGTGTTTTATATGATTTGGCTGCTCAATAAAGAACCATAAAAACCTTCACAAGTCTCTGGAGGAGAACTAATTTACAGGTCAGTGTTGTAAAAGTATTAATAACTAAAATATTAAGACATGTCCGCTGTGGACGTTACTCCCTCTGATGACTCTAAGGGAATCTCCTCTATTCAGTCCTGTTGTCTAAATATTTACCCAGCAGCCTTTGTTCTGTGATCAGCTGTAACAGGATGTCTGCACACTGTCAACCAGGGAGGCCTCTGGAGCCCTCAGTGAGGCCCGCCAGCCAGCTGTCACCTGGAGGTCCATGGTACTACGATACCACCAATAGTACTACCATACCACCAATAGTACTACGATTCAGACTACAAAGGAGCCATCCATGGTACTACGATACCACCAATAGTACTACGATACCACCAACACTACTACGATTCAGAGTACAAAGGAGCCGTCCATAGTACTACGATACCACCAATAGTACTACGATACCACCAGTAGTACTACCATTCAGATCAAGTTTCTGATCATTCAGAAAACCCTCACACCAGTACACTGTGTGGACACCTGGACAGCTCTGACTAAACATCTGTCTGTCTCTGCGGTGATGCTGCTACTCAAATGAGGTTTAAATGAGTTTAAATCAGGTAAAGAATATAAACCAGGTTAAAGAAGATGAAACCAGGTTAGACCACATTAAACCAGGTTAATGGTTCAAACTGTCACGATCAGGCTTTGCCTTCTGTGTTCTGTGTCTTTGTGTAGCTCCACCCTCCTCACTCTACCTGTCAGTCACTCCCTCAGCACCAGTCTAACTCCCTTCACCTGCCTCTGATCACTAATCAAGCACTCCCTCATCAGCACAACTCTCCTCACTGTTCAAGCCACTATTTAAACCCCTGCCTCTCAGTCACTCTTTGCCAGATCATTGTCATGTCTACCCGCCCGTTCGGCTCGTCCCGGTTCGGCTCGTCCCGGTTCGGCTCGTCCCGGTCCCTCACGTCTGCCTGCCCTGCCTCGTCCTGCTGGATTTCCCCCCTCGTCTCTTGTCTCGTCCGTGGATTCCCTGTGTGTTCCTGTAAGTTCCTGTTCTGATTTAAGTATTCATTAAATACCTGCTTCACTCTACTTCTGGTCTGGTCTGCGTTTGAGTCCTCCACCACACCCCGTGACACAAACCAGATTACACCAGGTTATTGTAGTTTAAACCAGATTACACCAGGTTAAAGGAGGTTTTGTTAGGTTAAACCGGTTTAAAGGAGTTGGACTCTTTTGTTAAAAAAGTTGGACCTGGTTGAATGAGATTAAAGGAGTTTAAACCAGGTTAATATACCAGGTTATAAGAGCTTAAAACAGATTAAACTGGTGTACCATTTTAAACCCTTTCTGGCAGAAAGCCCTGAAGAAGCTGCTCATGAGTTCTTGCTACTCTGAAGATCCACAAGATCACACTGACCGTTGGACTTCGCCTTCATCAACATCAACAGCACAAACTGCACAGCAAAAAACAGCAGCAGAGAGGAGGAAGATGAGGAGAAGGATGAAAAGGAGGAGGAGGAGTGCACCTTTCGTTTGGAGCGCTCAGACTTCCTGGACATGTTCTTCATCTTTTTATGAAGATGAAACAAAACCTGAAAACAAAAAAAAATCAACAATGTTTTTGGCCCCACGGCATCACGTGACCTGGACGTTGTGGTTCTATTGTCGGGGTTCTTCCTCAGAGTTTGGGTTGAACTGAAGTCCAGAGAGCTTGAATGTCACGCATGCCTTCACAATAAGAGCTCTGGGACACGAGGCACTTCAGAGGACTTTTATTCTGATATTCTAACACTTGTAGAGCAGAAGAAACATCCGGGATTTATTTTAGGAATAAAGCCCTCAACAGGTGTCGCCATGGAGACAGAGCACCGACATACCATTTGTCATTTAATATTTCTGATCATTTCCTCTGTTGGAAAGAAATGCAAGAAAATGTAAGAACAAATAATCAAGTTTTGGGGAAATGTGTTTTATTTTGAAACTTCACCCCGGTTTGTCGCTGTTGGTCTCCGCGCACTTGCAGCATGTTTTTACGCACAGTTTTTATGAGCTTCAGGACTTTGTGCGCGCCCTTTGGTCCCTCTGCCTGTTATGAATGCGTGTTCTACAGTGAAACGTGATCCTGCTCAGTGAACTGACCTTAGAGTAGCAGCAGCTGATGAGCAGCAGCGGCAGCAGGTATCCGATCAGCAGGATGGTCACCTTGTACGTGTGTTTGGAGGCTCCGGACCACGTCTCCCAGCAGAAGGTGCTGTTGGGGGCGCTGGGGTGGTTGGTTAGGACCTGATGCTGGGCCACCGGCACCGAGCACACCAGGGACAGCGTCCAGATGACGCACACTCCAGCCAGCGCGTTCCTGCGGCTCCGGACGCACGGGGACTTCTTGGAGAGCACCACTGCGATGTAGCGGTCCACGGACATGGCCACGAGCGTGAAGATGCTCACCAGCATGCTGACGGTGGAGAAGTAGTGTCCGAACTTACAGAGGACGGCTCCGAACACCCACTCCGGCAGAGAGTAGATGGTGGCCTGGAAGGGGACGCAGAAGAGGAGGAAGCTGAGGTCCGCCACGCTCAGATTCAGGATGAAGATGTTGGTCGGGCTGCTGGAGCGCCTCCCCCCTCCTCGCCCACCAAGTCCCCCGGTGACGCCGTACGTCACCTTCCCGATCACCACCATCACCAGAGAGTTCCCCACCATCCCCACCACAAAGATCAGCCCGAACACCACCGGCACGACCGCCGCCTCCGGCCCGGAACCGTCGCTCTCCGCCTCGGACCGGTTCGACTCCAGGAGTTCAGCCCAGCCGAAGGAGTTGTTTCCCGGCAGCAGCATGTTGCAGCTCCGCAGGGGAAGCTGGGTGGAGGAGCTGAAGAAGACCGCGACCGACTGCCTGAAAGACCAGGTCCACGATCCGGATCAGACACTCTGTCAACGGAGTCCGGACCCCACAAGCTGCTGGGGACGCGTCAAGTTGACGGAAGTATGGTGCAATGTTTCCTGTCGAGGGATTTCAAAATAAAACATTGTTATTATTCAGACTGTCAATTAAATAAGAAACCAGAACATGAAATACATTAATGATTGGATTTTACATTAAAATGTTCATCAAATAATGGTTCAGTTACAGCAGTTGTAAAAGTTAATAGAACAGTTAGTACTTAGTAGTTCCAACGGTTGCCACAGTTGGTATGGCTAGTAGTTACTATTTACTACAGTTAGTAGTTATTAGTTACAACTGGTTGTACAGTCACTTCAGGATGTTAACGTGTACAATATCAGATGTGTTAAAGATAACAGAAGGTGATTGGACGAACTGTTTAAAGACAATAGAGTTAATTTCCCCTCTGATTCATATCTAATATTAATATGTTCATGACTGTGTTCATGTAAGTGGACTGTGTTGAGGACTGTGTGTCTGTGTTCTTTACCGAGTGTTAAATAATAGAACATAAGATCTCTGTGAAGCTCTTGAGTCTTCTGAACATTGTTACTGTAACTCACTTCAAATGGATCATTACTAGTGATTTGAGGTCCTTCATGACTCCTGATCATCGGTTTGGATCACGTGATGTTTAGTGTAGAATCAGAGCCGGCGGGGAATTGGCAAAGATTTCCTTGAATAATTCCGACCTCATCCTAAAGGAACCTTTGAATCAAACAAACTGTAAAAAGTCACAAAATAGAATCTATTGGTTTCGTGTTCAGGGAAACAAACTCTTTTGTTTTAAGTACAGAACAACTTTATGTTTAAGGATGTCGGAACAAAGTCAGGTTTAGGCAACAAAACCACAACACTTTGGGACACAAGTTGTCTAACACCGTCTCGTGGTTGAAACTGGTGTTTATTGGAGCCCCCCCCACCCCACCATGAGTGTTGTCTGTCGATATTCACTTGGTCTGACCGTTGCTCCGTCCTGAGGATGTTTTCATTTGAGTGTCGTCCACGACTAAAGCTGCTGAAAGACTTTCCATTGGCATGGACACCACCTGTCCCTGTACACAAGACCAAAAGAGTTCAAGACTATTTCCTGACCTGCCGTGACACTGAGCTGCTTTTCAAACGTTTTAACCAGATGTCTTGTCTCGCACCCAGACTTACCTGCAGCTGGTTCCAGTGAAGTGAGGCCACTGTTCACTGGAGTCGGGCAGCTTGCTGAGAAGTCGTCACTTTCTTTTGTTTCAATCTAATTTACTGTTACTGGGTTTCATCTTTTTACTCTGTTTCAGTAAAGTTATTGTTAATAAATGTTTCTTGCATTACTCCGGATCATCTAATTGGTTCTTTTGAGTTTTCCGGTGACAAACCGCCTCTCGACCTTTATGTTGGGCGGCAGCAGTGAACACACCATCTGTTGACCACTTGTTTCGACTTCTGATTAATTGTTAGTTCAGAGATCGGCCTTCTTCTCTTACATTCATTTCTACACTTCCTGAAACAAAGGAAACTTCTGAACAAATTAAATTAGTGAGAGAAAAATGAGACTAACGCGCTTTAATGAGCAGCTGGAAGCAAACTGAGTCACGACGTTTTAGAACATTTAAATTTTCAGACAGCTGAACTAAGTCTGAATCAAACTGAGTTAGTAGATTACTGAGTTCACTTTGTCAGCAGCAAAGATTAATACAAAGAGAACCTGCAGCCAGTAAACTGCATCAGACACCACCTGTCTCACACTGACCAATCACCGTACGCTGTAGATAAGACGGGGACGGAGCGCCCATTGGGTTTGTGAACTGACATTTTATATCCTCGAGTTTGTCGTCGCCATCTTGTTTTTTTGCAACCAGAAGAGAAACGAGAGGGCGGAGCTACAACTAAGTGCTGAATAAAACATTTAGGCGACCAAAATGTTACAATTAACTTTGAAGAAGTGAAAACACACCGTGACAGAGTTAAAGATTTAAGATGAACCCGGACAACTACCAGACCGGTCAATCACTGTGTAGCCCCGCCCTAAAGCATCCCCTGCTTTATGGT